ATTGAGGAGGTATAAAAACACCATAACCCAATGAGAAAGAAACAAAGCATCAGCATAATGGATTTATAGAGGCTCTCCTTCCTTTCTTTTCTCTTCTTGAGGAAGAACCTTCTTCTGAGGTCTCTTCCGAAAAGCAGCGGCCCGTCGCTCTTTTCTTGCTTTCCTCATATGCAAATTAATGCAGATTTACTCATCAGCCCTAAACACAAACTAAGGCAAGGAGAGAGGGAGGCCGCAGAGGTGCCGCCACTACTGGGGTCACTGGCAGAATGCCTGCCAGCTGGAGGGAGGGAGGAAATCCCATGCATTGCGCAAGAAAAGGGGGGCCCCAGTGCCAGGGGAGCCTGCCAGGTTGTCCCTGCCCACTACCAGGCAGAGGGGGTGGGGGGCATGACCCCCAGCCTTCCTTTCTCCAAGTGCAAGGCTGCGTATTTCCCGCATCCCCTTGCTGATCCTGGAGCCATAGAAGCCCTTACAGCCCTTCTGACCCCAAAGTCCCCCTTATGATGATATGTACGTATACTTTAGTATAGAAAAGCAACGGAAGACCAACATAGTCATTAAAGTTTCCTTTAATATGCTTTAAATTTTTATTACCAGTCATGTTTTAAGCTGCATATAGCATCTCACCATTTCTGACACTGTAAGAGAAGGAAGTGGAGAAAAAGTGAAGTCTGAAAATGGAGAGATGCTCAGCTCAAAGGCAACAGCCAGTGTGGATTGGACTCCATTTGACTGATTTTCAGTAAAAAAATCTGAGGAAGGGGGCAAGGTTCAGAATACACAGTTGTCATATGAGGTGTTTTACTACTCACGTTTTTATTTCCTCTGAATCTTTCATTTTCAGTGACTTTGGAAAACTGAAGAATTACCTCTATTGAGAGAAGCTTTTTTACCTTTTTACATATTCATTTTGGTGTATTTCAGTTGATCTAAATACAGAACTGCTCCTGCATCTTAGCCATTTTAGGTATCATTTAAAATGACAACATAGTAAATAAATATAACCACGAGCAGCTGTAGGACCCTCTGATCATTGCATGATTCACCTTGTACCTGCTTACAGGCAAAGACTTAAAACCACAAAACCAACAATTAAATCAGTGAAGACTTGGACTGAGGGGGCAAAGTTAAAGCTACAGGCTTGCTTTGACTATACTAATTGGAATATTTTTGAAGATACCTCTGCAGACCTGGATGAACTCACAGATACTGTAACATTATCTGTCAGCTTCTGTGAAGACCTTTGTGTACCGACCAGGAACTTGCGAATATACAGTTACAACAAACCTTGGTTCACAGCTAAACTTAAGCAGCTACATCGTTCCAAAGAGGGAGCCTACAGAAAAGGTGATAAAATGCTGTAGAATCAGGCCAGAAATGTATTAACAAGGGAGATCAGAGCAGCAAAAAGAAGCTACTCAGTGATGGGTTCCAACTGGTGTTACCACCGGTTCTCTTCGTGCACATGATTTGCACACGCTCCACACAAGCACATTAGAGTTATACCCAGCTGAGGCTCAGCAATCCACTCTGCCACGCCTATCAGCTGGGCTAAAAATCGACAAAGGTAGGTATAATGCAGGGGCAGGCGGGAGGGCCCAGCTCAGAGTCATAGAGAACCGGTTTGCTGACGTCACATCATTACCACTACCGGCTCACCCGAACCGGGCTGAACCGGGAGCAACCCACCACTGAAGTTACTCTGAAAAGCTAAAGAATCAGTTCTCAACAAATGAACCAGCAAACATGTGGAAAACTTTTAAAAATATCACCAGCTATGGCAAACCTCCTTCCCAGGCTGAAGGAAATCAACAACTGGCAGATGACTTGAACGTGTTTTACTGCAGGTTTGAAAGGAAACTACAGCCACCTATCTCCACAACCCCCATCTCAGACACACTAACAACAGCCAAACCTCCTTCAACTGACCCCATCCCATTGGGTTCACAAACCCTAGTGATCACAGAAAAGGAAGTGCAAGACCTATTTCACAGACAAAAGCCAGGAAAAGCTCCAGGCCCAGACAAGATAACTCCTTCTCACTTAAAAGTCTGTGCTGACCAATTGGCCTCCCTCTTCACCCGTATCTTCAATAAATCGCTAGAGATGTGCTATGTTCCTTCTTGCTTCAAACGCTCTACTATCATCCCAGTGCCGAAGAAGCCCACCATCAAGGAACTGAACGACTACAGACCAGTTGCTCTAATATCTGTAGTTATGAAAACCTTTGAAAGGCTAGTGCTGTCTCACTTGAAAACCATCACGGATCCGCTGTTAGACCCCTTGCAATTTGCATACCGAGCAAATAGATCAACAGATGATGCTTTAATATGGCTCTGCACTACATCCTACAACATCTTAAATCTCCAAAGACCTATGAAAGGGTCCTCTTTTAGACTTTTGTTCAGCATTCAACACCATCATTCCAGACATCCTTCTAACCAAGCTAAACCAGCTAGCGGTATCTGAACACACTTTTAAGTGGATCATAAGCTTCCTAACAAACAGGAAGCAGCAGGTGAAGCTAAGCAGAATCACATCAGATACCTGTACAATTAGCACAGGGGCCCCCAAAGGTCCCATCTCTAACGATCCATCTGTTAAAACTACTGAAGTTCGCAGATGACACAACAGTGATCAGTCTCATTCGAGACAATGTTGAATCTGCATAGAGACGGGGGTTGAATAACTATCCTCGTGGTGCGACCAGAACAATCTGGAACTGAACACACTCAAAACCGTAGAAATGGTGATAGATTTTAGGAGAAACCCTTCCATACTTCCACCTCTCACAATACTAGACAACACAGTATTAACAGTAGAGACCTTCAAATTTCTAGGTTCTACCATATCGCAAGATTTAAAATGGACAGCTAACATCAAAAAGTCATCAAAAAACCACAACAAAGAATGTTCTTTCTGCGCCAAGTCAGAAAGCTCAAACTGCCCAAGGAGCTGCTGATCCAGTTCTACAGAGGAATGATTGAGTCTGCACCTCTATAACTGTCTGGTTTGGTTCTGCAACCCAACAAGACAGACACCGACTTCAGAGGATCATTAGAACTGCAGAAAAAACAACTGTATACTGCACAAGTCAAAAGGAGGGCTGTGAAAATATCTACAGGCCCCTCGCATCCTGGACATAAACTGTTTCAACTCCTACCCTCAAAATGATGCTATAGAGCACTGCACAGCAGAACAACTAGACACAAGGAGTTTTTTCCCTGAACGCCATCACTCTGCTAAACAAATAATTCCCTCAACACTGTCAAACTATTTACTAAGTCTGCACTACTATTAATCTTATCATTCCCATCACCCATTTCCTTCCACTTATGACTGTACGACTGTAACTTTGTTGCTTGTATCCTTTCAATTTATATTGATAAGTTTCCTGATTGCTTATTTTTACCGTATGACTATCATTAAGTTTTGTACTTTATGATTCTTGATGAACATATCTTTTCTTTTATGTACACTGAGAGCATATGCCCCAAGACAAATTCCTTGTGTGTCCAATCACACTTGGCCAATAAAAAAAAAAAATTCTATAATCTACTTTTCAATCTGTCCACCTTTGGATAATTAAAAAAAAAACCTTCCTGTTTTTTCAGGCTTAGGGCTAGTTATTTAGGCCTTTGCATTTCCACTTGATAATGAGACCTCTTCCTATCCCATTCCTTTCAGTGATGGTGCTTGTTGTAATGCAGGCACTGGGTCAGCCCATAGAACAATGGCCTGGCCTGAATTGACCTCCTGCCCACTGATGGGTCTGCGTATAGATCTAGAGCCTGTGTGATTGGTGGCATCTGTGCGCCATATTCATCTTGGATAGGTTTGTTGTGAATCAGTCCAGGAAGTAGGATAGTTCAACAGCCAAATGACTGTGTATGCTGTGCACACAATGGTGCAGGTCCTTGTTCTGAATGGGCCCGTGAGACAATGCGTGCTATCAGTGGAAGTTTGGGGATGGTCTCGGGGCTTGTGCTAGGGTCATATATCACCCAGGAGGGAAAGGGGTGGACACGCACCGCAGCTCATTGAGGTTACACAACTTCCTTGTCTCCACTCTTGCCTGTGTGTGTGATTAAGTCACTAGAGAAACAGCCTGTTTCCTGAGGAGAGGGAGTAGAGGTTTCTTTGCCTTGGGACATGTGCAGAGTGTTGGGCCCTTGGCACATGGCTGACTCCAGGCACCTTTGCTTCCTGACAACTCGCCAGCAGAGAGGGGCCTGGGAGCAGAAGGAGGGCCTCCCGTCTCAGAGGATGACAGATGGGACCTGCTTTGTGCTTAGCCTGACAAAGATGACATAGCCAGGTCCAACTCGGTCTTTGGCTGGGTGGAGGGTGAGTCCTGTATTATAAGTGGGTTGGAAGCCTGGGCACAAAAACTACTTGGAAGACAGATGCAGAAGACAAACTGTCCCAGAAATTTGAAGGGGCTGCAAAACCCCCGCTCCTGCACACCATTAATCTGCTTGGCTCATCTGGCACAGTAAGGCAGCTTTGTATCACTTTCTCTCCCTCCTCTCCTCCAGAGTGGCATTGCCCTTCCTTGGCCATCTGGTCCTCACCTGGCCACCCATGCCTGCCATTGCACATTCCTGGGGCTAATGGGCAGAAATCTGAGCTTTAATGGGAGAAACACATACAATCTGTTCCCAGGGCACACTTATTCATGATTAGCTGAACCATGGTTTACTCAACCTAAGTTTATACAAAGTTAAAACCATGACCAAGTGTAGAGTTTGGGTTCGCACAATACCTCAACTTGAGACCAAAGGGTTGTGTGAAAAGGGGAACAAGCCACAGAGCTTTTCTGATCCCATCGCCCGCCGACCGCGTCTTTTCCTCCCGTCCCCCCAAACCAGAAGCCAGGAATGCGGAGCAATTTCGGCGGCGGCGCGGTGGGGAGCGCTTAAAGGGACGAGCGCGCCAGGGCGGCCCGGCTCGCCCGAGAAGCTCCGGGCCGCGCAGGTTGTGCGCACGACCGCGGGATGGACTTGCGCCTGCGGAGACCGGCCTTCTGGGCTCGGCTCCACCTGCGGAGCGGCCTCCAGGGCTGGGACCTGCCCCGGGAACTGGCTCTAGACGCCACCTGTGACCAGCTGCCCCCAGGTGAGGCGGCCCCTGCTGGCGCTCACTCGCCCTTCCCCGCGTCTTTCGCGGGGCGGCGGGTGGCCCGGGGTCGCTTTCGGCCCGGCCGTTCCTTTGGATGAGCCTCCGTTACCGGGAAGGGCGAAGGCGGGACCCCCGGCGTCCCTGTGTCCCGGCCGGAGGCCAGCCGCCTAACCGCCTCTCCCCCCAGTTGCTGACGAGGCCCTCCCGACGGCGCGGCTCGACCAGGCTGCCGGCGGCCCGGCCGAGGCTCCTTGCCTTTCCATCTCGGGGGCCCGTGGTAAGCGAGGAGGGACCAAATGACGGAGGGCCTCGCCTGGGGCCCCGGCCTTGCTCCAAAAGCCCCGGAATAAAGCAGCAAGGCGAGAGAGCCCCCCCCCGTCCCACGGCTGCTCAGCGCGGTTAGGGGCGAGCGGCGGCCTTGCTGAGCGACGCCTGGCTGCTTCTTCCACTGCAGAGACTGCCGGGCAGCCGCACCTGTGGATGTGGGTGGACCCCAACCTCGTGTGCCCTATCCCCGGACACGCCGCGGGGCTGCCCTCCCTGCCTGCGCCTCGTCCCCTCGCTGCTCCAGAGGCTTCGTCCCACAGCGCAGCCCGCTTCGGAGACGGCCGCCCGGGAGAAGAGGTGCCGCCAACTGCTCAGGCTGGGCACGTGGCCCGTCTCGCCTGCTCGGCTAGAAACTTCGGAGGCCGCGGGGGGGGGGGGGGGGGGGGGGGGGGGGGGGGGGGGGGCGTCGGGGTCTTCCGGCTCGCTGGGCGGAGCTAGGAGCCTTTAGGCCGGGTGGAGGCTTCGCAGAAGCTGCTTTTCTTGTGGCAGCCTTCCTCATGAAGTTTCAAACCCGCCCCCGATTTCCTTCCCCCACGGAGCGTTGCTGAAGCACAAAAAGTGGGGAGAAGGGCGAGCGAGGGGCAAGGAGCCTGAGGCAAGAGCCCTCAGCCCAAGTCTGCCCTGGAGCGGAGCTGGGCCTTCCCCCAAAGCCGCCCCCCCCCAAGGCTGGCCCCTCTCCTGCACTTATTTCCCATCGGTTCAAATGTACCCATCTTTTGCCAGGATCCTGGGAGTGCCACTGAAGCCAAATGCACCCTGCTTCCAAAAGAGGACTCCCAGAGCCCTCCCCACGCATGCCAGAATGCGAAGGGGATCCGCTCCCGCAGCAGGAAGCTGCGGGCCCAGGGGGGCTGGCCTCGCCCCCCTCTCAATTATTGTATCTTGATTAGCCTTGCCCTGAGCAGCAGCGTGGACAGCAGCCTGACTGTGCAGGAGATCTACAAGTTCACCAGGTAGGGCTCTTGCAGCTGAGCAGCACCCAGGCAGAGGGCAGGGTGCTCAGAGACGGGGTGGGGGGTGGGGGGGCTTTCCTGCCTTGCCCTCTCTGCTCTTGGTGGCCTTGTAGCAGAGGGCTTTCTGCTCCTTGGAGGTGGAGCATTCTAGTCTAGCTACCAGTGGTCCCGTGGAGGTGGGCCTGGCCCTTGGCAAGGTGTGGTGCGTGAGACTCTGGCCCTTTGCCCTCTTGGCAGGCACCACTTCCCTTTTTTCCGCACGGCTCCTGAGGGCTGGAAAAACACTGTCCGGCACAACCTCTGCTTCAGCAGCAGCTTTGAGAAGACTACAGACTTCGTTTGCCTTGAAGGGAACCGCAAGTCCCGCCTATGGAAGTTAACCACAGAGGGCCGGCGGAAGTTTCAGGAGGAGGCGCAGGCCCTGCCAGAGGATATGATGGGCTTGGTGCACCAGAGCATGGACAAGCCAGGTGGGCCTTCCCTCCCCCAGAGAGCAAAAGCCCTTCCCTCCTCCCCCCTGGTTGGATGTGGGTCCGCCAGGGTCTGGGGTGTATGTGTGTGCACTCCGCAGAGGAAGGATTGGTTGAGGAAGAAATTGGACCCAACATCCCATCTGCAGTGAGCAGGCTGAGCCACCTGGCAGTGCCAGGTCCTGGAAGGGCTGCCCAATCCTTTGCCCTGGGGTTTCTTGGCAGACCTGGTGAACCAACAGCCTCATCTCCCTTCCCCAGAATTAATGCGATCTCTCTTTGGCCTCTGATCCTCTGTGTGGAAGTCTGGCAGAGAGGCCATTTGACGGAGCTCCCAAGGAGGATTTGACTTTTGCCAAGGGGAGGAGGCTGGGTTTTCCAGGCATGGGCAACCTGCCAGGCTCTGGGCACCGCCTGCTTGGCCCTCAGCTGGGAAGGCACCGAGCAAGGCAGCTTCACGCTGACCCGGAGCGTAGCTGTTGGTTGGTCCCTGAAAGAAGCCAGCGAGATCCTCACCCGGTTTTGTGTTGAAAGTTCTGTTTGAAGCAGAAAAAGCTAATCGAGCCTTTTTTCTCAATTCTCAACCTGGATGTTCCAATAAACGCATTCAAAGAGCAACGCGGTGTGATTGATTGTCTGTGGAGTTGACTTATATGCGCCCCTCTTCCGTGCTGCCACGTGGGAAGCTCCCGAGACAATTTCGCCGCTTGGAAGCGTCCTCCGCGCCGCCCGAAGGACCCTAAGACCCATCGGCCGCAGCCAGCGCTCGCCCGGCAGCCGGACAGCAGCTCAGCGCGCCGCCGCCGCCCCGCCCGCCGGAGCGGGCGAGAGGTGGGCGGGGCGCGCGGGCGTGACGTCACTGCGGGGCGGGGCACCAAGATGGCGGCCGAGGCGGCGACGCTGTTCCGCTGCCAGCTGTGCGGCCGCAGCGCCTTCGCCGGTCGCCGGAGCCACCTGTACAGCGCGGGGCACCAGCGGCGGCTGCGCGCGGCCCTGGCCCGGCTGGCCGAGAAGGTGCGCGGGCTCCTGGGGCGGGGGGTCCTGGGGCGCGGCCGCGGCTGACGGCTCTCCCCCACTTTCCCCGGGCAGGTGGCGGCGGCGCGGGCGGCGGCGCGGCGGGCGGAGGTGCTGCCCTTCCAGGCCGGCGAGCACGAGCGGCGCGTCTGGTGCCCCTGCTGCGCGCGCGAGGTCCGGAGCCACCTGAGCCGCGGCGCGCGGACGGTGCTGCACGGCGGCCTCTTGGAACACCTGGCCAGGTGAGGGGCGGGCGGGCGGGCGGGCGGGGGGCCTGCTGTGGCGCGCCTCCCCGGCGGCCGAGCGACGCCCTCTTGGCTTCCCCGCAGCCCGGAGCACGCGAGAGCCGTGGCCGCCTTCTGGAGGAAGAACAGGGCCGACCCCAAGCAGAAGGCTGACTTCCTGCTGTCGGCGGGGGAGTACCGGCGGTGAGTGGCCCCGGCCCGCCTGCTTCCCCCTCCTCCCCGCTGGGCTGTGACCCGGGAGGAGGGTCTTCGGCCGCTATAGGAGGAGTTGGTAGCCTTCCCCTGTGTAAAGCCATTCTTAAAAGAGCCATGTCTAAGGAGGGAGGCTGTGCCAGGCCTTAGGAGAGCCCAGACTGTGTCTCCATGCGTCCACCAGCTAGTCACCTCTGCGGTAATGGCCCTTGTTGCCCAGAGTGATGGGCTGCTTTGTACTTTCAGCTTTCAGGAGTCTCTCTGCCAAGCCCTGGATGCTTACGAAGAGAAGGAAGACGCAGCCATCCAGCAGGTAGAGCTGGGGGGATCCAAGGGGTTCAGGGACCAACAAGGGCCTGACTTCAGCTCCTATCCTATCTTTCCTCATTGCAGGCTGCAGCTCACATCCGAGACATGGAACAGAAGAGACGAGAGATGGTACAGGCCATCTTAGAGGTTTGTGTGCCCAAGTTCAGAGTGGGCAGTATCCATCATCGTGTTCCCAATGGTTTCTGCAGAATCCTTCCGTTCAGCTCGCTTTCTTTGCCTTTCCCCCATTTAAATGCAAATTCATTTGCCAACTTCAGGAACTGGTAATTCCTCTTCCCAGAAAATATCAGGCTTTGCAAGTATAGCGGATGTTTTCTCTCACCCCAAGCCCTTCATGCCAGGAGGTATCGTGCCAGGCTTTGGGGCCTTGCTTTGCTTTTTATTTAGTTCCAGTTTAAATGACCTTGTAAAGCGACTGACGGGCAGCAAATGGGATGCTTTGAGATCTATAGGTGCTGAAATGCCCCTTCTGGCACAAAAACTTTTCCCTCTGTTACTTACTGACTTTATATTTCTTTGTGGCAGCCTTCCCTGCTGAAGGCTTCCCTTTCTTCTCCCTCTGGATAGCTGGAAATGGTTCAGGAGTCTTAAGGCATTACTTGTGTTCTGGCCTGTGTATTATTTCAAATAGTAATTTGGGTGTTAAATTTGTAATTTAACTCTATTATCAACAACTCCTTTTTAATTTTTTTCCTTGGGGAAATGCTCTTGGGTTAGGGGTGTTTCCTTTACTGGCATCTGTGCCTGAGTGATTTAGCTGAATCTGCTCCATTTTAACGCTCTCCAGATTACATCTCAAGGTATCTCCTATATTGCAAAATATGTTGTTGTCTCTTGAAACAAGTGTGTTTTTCCTGAATTAAACTCAGCCACAGAGAGCGGACACGCTAAGTGATGGAACCTCTGCTGTCTACACCTTTACAGGGAATTTAAGGTAGGAGTTACTTTAAATTGGAGGCCTCCTTGCTTCTGTATCCCTGTTCTATTCCTGGCAATATCCTCTTCACATTACCTTGGTGCCGAGTCTGTTTTGCTTGTGCTGACAAATGTTCTATGTTGTAGTGATTCTCCTTTTGCTATGGAAGAGCAGGAGCAGCCTGGGCCAAGCTGGAACACCACTTTTCTTCAAGAAGAGCCTATTTGTGCCAGCAGCACTACGCCTGAGCTGCACTACCCAGAAACAGGGCAGCCCTTAACTTTCATTGGCCACCAGGTACTCCCATTAGGAATTCCCTCTTGCCTCTCACATTCAGCAGCGTGACAACCGAGCAGTGAATGTCTGCCCTGGGTTCAGTCTCCTATCTTATACCGTTTCCCAAGAATCTCAAAAAGGGAAAAGGGATGCTGTCCACTGCTGCCTATTGGACTCGGAAGCCAATACTTCTGGCTGCAGGACTCACTACCCCCTTTGCAATTTTGCACCTGGGCTTTTCAGACCCTTAACAGTACTAATTTGAGCTTTTCTTTCATTGTTTCAAATGCAGGAAACAGGTGGGGAGGGCAACATTCACACAGGTAGGTTGGAGTCGGCTTTCTGAAATGGTTGCTGAGCCTGGCTTTGCCCATGATGGACATTTGGCTCACAAGGGAAATCTCTCTACTGAAACAATACAGTGAAGCATTAATTTGCCAACTACATTTAGTCGTGTACATGTATGTGTACAAATCTTAAAAACGAGGTTAACCACGAATTGCATGCTGCATGGCTATACATGGTGGTGTAGCCTTGAGCATTTCGTAAACAGCTGTTCTCATATTATGGTCAATATAACTTGGGCACATGAAAAGAAACATATGAGGATTTCCTGATTTGTCCACCTTTCAATCTTGAGGAGCAAAACCTCCCTGGCTGATGAATGAAGAGGAAGGTGAAAGGCAGATTGGACCTTCCTATGAAGAATTCCTTAAGGAAAGTGAGTGTGCAAGGGTTTGGCCCTGTGGGGCTCAGAAGAACTGAGCAAGGGATGACTCAATGTTTTGTTCTTCTGTCCTCTTTAAAGAACAGAAGCAGAAACTGAAGCAGCTCCCGCCCAACCGTGTTGGAGCCAACTTTGACCATTCGTCTCAGACAGGAGATGGTTGGCTCCCCTCCTTTGGGCGTGTTTGGAATCATGGTAGAAGATGGCAATCCAGGTAAACACACACGCCTTCCTCTGAGAAGGCCAGAGGCAATGACTAACACCATTAATATATTTAGAAGACTTTTAGCTTTCCCCTCTGTTGCTAGAGACAGCAGTGTTTGTGTGTGTGTGGAGGGAGAGGTCTGGGCCTGGCTGCCACCACATCCTTCTCATTTATTGATTCAGAATTTGTTGAATTGTTACTTATGATAACTTATCATTTCATATATTCCACTTTATTGTTAACTGATAACAAAATTACTGGAATCTTCTCTGGCTTCCTAAATCCAATAATTGTGAATTGTCAACACATTACATTTGCATGGCTGCCCGGTCCCCCAAAGTGGATCCTGGAAATGTCTAACGAATAAAATATATAGCCAGAAGAGCCTTTGTATGGGTGCTGGAAGCCCCAATTGCAGAAGAGTAGAAGGAATCCAGCTTCTCAAGTTCCTGTCCCTGATACAAAAGAATAAACTGTTTCAACTTGTCTTTGGCACTGCTTTTTTCTAGACATCAGTTCAAAGCCGAATCTGGAAATAAGCAGCCTGGGTCCAAGAGGAAAAGGCCTCGAACCAGCTAAAACATCTGCCTCCCCAAGGCAGCGTGGCACAATTCAAAGCCCATTAATCAAAAGCCCAGCTGCTGCTGTGGAAGACTTTGTGATGGTTCCTGTGAAACGAAGTCTGCTTCTGTAGCCTTAAGCACGTAATTGTATTATTAAATGTATTATAATAAAACTGAGTTATAATTGTATATGGATTTTACTAAAAACAATGGTTGCCAATAAATGTATGCTACAAAATATTAAAAGCAAGGTGCATTTGTCTTAAGATCCACAAAGCAAATATGAGATTGCAGAAAATATTGCCATCAAAGTTAGGAGGTCATCTATGACTTTCGATATATCCCTTGTTTATTCAAGTTGTCCAAACTTATCAAGATAGACACTAGCTAGCATACTTGCATTGCCCCCAGTTATACAGCTGATGCTTTCATAACGTTTTTGTTTTATGCCATTTTACTCCTTGCATAATAATTCGCACTTGCTCAGATCATTACAAAGCCTCAAAAGAGTTTAATCAATTTATTTTTTTTGTGTATACAAGTAACTCTGGAAACCATTTGAAAATCTGCAAAGCAAACCAAAGAAGAAATTAGATATTTCTGACGCAAGGTAGTCAATCCTATTTGGCTGTGTGGAACTGTACTGGCCATCTGGACTCACCTTCTCAAGCATCCTCTCCTGCAGCTGGTGCATCACCTCCCTTGGTGTTTCGGGTGTAGATGACCTGTGCTCTGTGCTTGGAGACCAGTTTAATTAGACCTGCCAGGAGAAAACACGCATCAGAGGATCAGGAAGCTTAGAAAACCGAGCGCGACCAGGAGCATTTGGGGAAGGGGGAGGGGGGGGCTGTCGGCTGCAATCCTTCAAGGCCCACAGCTGGGCTCTTGCAGGGAGAGGCGAGAGCGGGGCGCCTCCGGCCTCTCACCTTTGCCCAGGAGCTCCTGTAGCGCAGCCCGCGCGAGCGACCCTCGGATCTTCAGCCTCTCCGAGACCACGGCGGGCGTGATGAGCTTGTAGTTGGGCACCTCCTTGCAGAGCTTGTCGTAGGTGGCTTTGTCGAAGAGGACCAGGTTGTTCAGCTTGTCCCTCACCTTCCCCTTGGACCACTTCTGCTCGCGGGGAGAGAAGTCCGTCAGGGCCGCCGACAGCCTCCCCCGCCGCCCTGCCCGGCCCCCCCTCCCGCCCGGCCTGCCCGGCGCCCACCTTCTTCTTGGCTTTACCGCCGGACTTGTTGACGGGGTCCTTGTCCTTCTTGGCGGACTTGCCCGCGTCCTTCTTCTTCTTGTCGTCTTTGGGCGGCTGCGGGAAACGAGAGAGCCAGAGGGGTCAGCCGCCCGCCCGCCCGCCCAGCCGCCTACCCGTCCCGCCCGGCCCGGGGCCTACCTACCATGGCGCGGCTGGCGGGGCAACGTGCTCCTCCTGGGCGGCTTCCGGCTGGAAAGGAAGGCGGCCGTCCGCGCAGGCCGGAAATCCCGCGGCTCAGCGCACCCGGAAGAGGCGTGGCCAGTCCCCCTCCCCCGCCGCCAGGCCTACGGGTGCCGCGATGGCCATCTTCAGCGTCTTCGTGGTGAACAAGGCCGGCGGGCTCGTCTACCAGCTGGACCACTACGCGCCGCGGGCCGAGGCCGAGAAGACCTTCAGCTTCCCGCTGGACCTGGTGCTGCGCGCGCACGACGAGCGCGTGCTCGTGGCCTTCGGGCAGCGCGACGGCATCCGCGGTGAGGGGGCGTGGGGGGGGGGGGCGCGGGGCGGCGGTGGGAGGAAGGCGGGAGAGCCGCCCGGCTGAGCCGCCTCCCTCCCTCCCTCCCTCCCTCCCCCGCAGTGGGCCACGCCGTGCTGGCCATCAACGGCGCCGACGTGAACGGGCGCCTGACCGCCGACGGCAAGGACGTGCAGGAGTTCCTGGGCAACGCGGCCAACTACCCGGTGGCCATCCGCTTCGGCCGCCCGCGGCTCTCCTCCAACGAGAAGCTGATGCTGGCCTCCATGTTCCACTCGTGAGTCGGCCGGGGGGGGGGGGGGGGAGGGGGGGGGCCCCGGGCGACCCCCCACCCTCGCCCCCTCCGCCCACCGGCCCTGCTTCTCGTCGCGCAGGCTCTTCGCCATCGGCTCCCAGCTCTCCCCCGAGCAGGGCAGCTCCGGCATCGAGGTGCTGGAGACGGACACCTTCAAGCTGCACTGCTTCCAGACGCTGACAGGTAGCCGGGCCGGGCCGAGGGCGGCGGGGGTCGGCCCTCCATCCCCGCCTCCGCCTCGCTCTCCTTCCCTTCCTTCGCAGGGATGAAGTTCGTGGTGTTGGCCGACCCGCGGCAGGCCGGCATCGAGGCCCTCCTGCGCAAGATCTACGAGATCTACTCGGACTTCGCCCTGAAAAACCCCTTCTACTCCCTGGAGATGCCCATCAGGTGCGCTCGAAGCCAGCCCCCCCCCCCGCAATTCCAGGAAAGCCCTTGTGGGGGTGGGGGTGCCCTGGCGCCTGGCCTGAGCCTGTGGGGTCCGTTGGCTGTCAACCCCCACCCCACCCCCCACCCCGTTTTTCCTCGAATAAGGAATTTTCTTCAGGCGCCCTGCAGTCTTCTTTATGTGCTGTCTTATATAAGTATGCAGGGACAATGCTGGACCCAAACATTTATATGAATTTTTTTTCCTTGGTAAAGTTAGAATGAAAAACGTGGCGCTATGAAGCAAGGGTGGCCTTTTATTCTAAGTCTGCTTCTGTTATGCTACTATTTCAGATGTGAGCTCTTTGATCAAAACTTGAAACTTGCACTGGAGGTAGCAGAGAAGGCAGGCCCCTTTGTCCCAGGGTTATAGGAGGAAGTTCTTCCACTTCAGTTGCCCAATGGACGGTTTGGATCTTGGGACCAGAAAGGCTTTCCAGCAATTCCAGAGTCAAATTGCTCTACTCCGTCCTTGTTTGGACAACTTCTGCTGCTGGAAGTTAGAAGGAAACCTTGTTGGCTACATGCATGTGTTTAATTTATGCTTGGCACTTTCTTTATTGCATGCGGAAATAAAATATTCTTTAAAGAAAGATGATTTTAATCTTGACTTCAGGATAAACTGACATCCAACAACATTTATTATTACGGTCACTCAATCAGCCAGATGTTTAGACTGAATTTGTCATTTTTCCACCTATTAAATCCTTCCCAAAGACCTAGGATAAGCAGATGTTATTATGGTAGATGTCACCTGATTCCCAGCAATTCTTCAGACGGGCACACAACTTTTACTGGACAATTCTTTATTTTTGTTGACATACGCATTCCATATAACAGTCATAGTTTAGAAGCTATTATAGTAAATGTAGCAAGATTTATTCCTAAAGGCATCTAATTACATCTGGAGATCTTCATGGCTGCAGAATTGTTAGGCAGTTCCAACCCCAGCAGTTTAATACTGCTTTTCTTCTATTAAAGACATGGGGCATCAAACCCCTCAGTTTATACTGATACTTGTGATACAGTCAATAAAGTTTGATCTGAGGGTTACTCTTTCTCAAATTCTAAAAGTAGTTTTTAGTCTACTTCTAAACTTACCTGCTATCGACTGAACCTAAACGGAGTAAGTATGGCTCCCTTTTTTTCTAACTTATTTCCTGTTTGGTTATACCTGAGTGTAATTTGTGAGATGATTTGGAAAATGTCAATTGAAAATCTAACGTAGGAAATGAGAACACATACCAAAAGGGTGTGTGTACGTGTGAAGCAATTTCTCAAAGTGAAACTTCTATTCAGCTGCTCCGTCCCCACTGCTGGGCGCTGCCAGTGAACCCAGCAGAGGCTGTGACAGGCTCCTGAGGGCCTCCATTAGGTTTTGAAGGATGAGAACTGGCAGTAACAACCAGGTGAGATTTTGCCACCACTTTGTAAAGGCAGGCAGTAAACCTGCTTAGAGCATCTACCTTTTTTCTTTCTGAAGTCCTGGCTGCAAAGGAGCCAAGTCGTGGGGCCTTTCAGTCCACTTTCTTTGGCACGCGACCCATCTTGGTGCAGATATTTCTCAGAAGGAAAAAGGCCACAGTGCTGGCTATGCAGATCAGCTCCACTACCCAGAAGGCTGTTCCCCAGCTGTAGTATTTGGCAATTGTGCTGAAAGGCAGGCCAGCCAGGAAGCCTCCCACTGAAAAGAGAAAGAGAGTGTTGGGCGCGAGGTGGGCTTTTATCCTCAACCGGTTCAGATTATATTTTCACATACCGTTAGCCATTAGGGCAACAATGGCATGAGATGTGCCACACAGGTTGGATGGCGCGCTCTCATTGGCTATGACGCCAAACAGTGCAATTGGTCCATAAGAGCAAAATCCAAAGATGGCTCCTAAGAGCAGGATCCAGAGCTACGAAAATGGAGCCGGACAAAAGGTTAGGTGTACAAATAGGATACCTTTCCCTACTATCTGCATCTGCCTCTTGGACTCCTTTTCCTCATCACTGTCTGTGAAATGGTGCCTTAGATGAAGCACAGCAATGTTTAATCTTCAGTAAACTTTGTTTTTCAGTAATCTACTAAGAAAGTGAGAAATAACAGCATCTCAGCCAATTAATATTTTAAGGTAATTTTTAGATCAGGGTACTAAAATATGAAACCTTGGTCATCTCACTGCAATAGCATAACTAGGAAGCAGGATAACTGTTCCTGCAACCCCTCAGAGCGAGGTCTCCCACTTCTATGGCTAGCACAGGGGTGTCAAACATGCGTCATCACGGCGGCATCACGTGACATCGACTCCCCCCCCTTCGCTAAACAGCGTGGGCGTAGTCAGTGTGTGACGCATCCGGTCCGTGGGCTGCAAGTTTGACAGCCCTGGGCTAGCAGCTGCTGCTAATGACCCTGCATCTGGCATCAAGTCAGTGGCTGAAGCAACAAAATGATTGACATAATCAGTGAGAGAGTGAGAGAGAGAGAGAGAGAGAGAGAGAGAGAGAGAGAGAGAACAAAGACCTCATGTTCTGTAAGGCCCACAAGATCAGCCAGAGGATAGAGGAATTGATTCCAAGAATAATTTCCCTGGAAGAAAAAGAAAGGAAATGAGCAAGGAGCATGAGAGAATGTTTGGAAAAGACAAAACAGCAATAATCGTATACAGAAGCAGAGACCCCAGAAAGGGAAAACCCTTGCCAGCAATTTTCCAAAACAACTTTGCTAGCTAAAAATGTTAAATTAATGGCAGACTTATTAAGGCACTTTGTTGTTGACTGAGACATCATCATCATCAGTATCTGAAGATTCCCCATTGTTGGAATTCTCAGCCTTTTGAGCTGAAGCCAGAGGAAAGGCCAGTTTTGGGATGAAACATGATGATCTATCATGGCTTCAATAGATGGGCTTGTAATTGCCAAAAGTTCAGGAAGCAAAGAATCTATCCAGGAATGAATTTCACCTTGATTTCAGAAACCCAGTTTTGTTTCCCTGAACGTTGCAAAGTTTTGTTTTGTTCCGTTAAAATTTGTTTCTAAAAACTGCAATTCATTTTACTGGTGGAAATCCTCATAAGATGTGGCATTTACCTAAAGATAAAAGCATTCAAAATGGTCCCCTTTCACTATCTACTCAAACAGGTGACAATATAAATGAGATGAAATTGGGGGGGGGGGGAACCAATTCCCTCCTGGAGAGCAACAGCTTTGCCTGCCTTCAACGCCACTCTTGTATAACTGAGCCTCCTTCCTATAGTTTACCTTGGGGGAGCTGTCAGTTACGGTGACTCGAAAAAGGAACAACGAGGCAGCCATGCCGGCCATCATCAGGAGGAGCAGGGGATGCCGAGGGTTTCCGTAGATTGAGAGACCCACCTGCAACACACACACACGGATCCAAAATGAAGTGCAGCATCCTTGTTACGAAGTATCTGTCAACACATCCCAGACACACCCGTCTCTGTCTTGGCATCCAGGCCAAGGGGGTTTTCAGGGTGGCCCTTCCTCCTTCATGCTTACCCTGGCCACTGCACGGTCCGAAAGGTAACCAGCAGCAATGCTGCCCACGAGGCCCCCAATTTCCAAGGCACTCATATAGGAACTGCCTAAGAGCAAAGAGCACAGTGACAATTCCAACGAGGCTGCATCCCTGCCTGTTGCATGGCACTTCCGGGCTCCTCCCCTGGTCGGTCATGCAAAAGACCCCCCCAAAGATACAGTTCCACAGAACATTGACTCTGGCTTACCCAGACCAAGTGTCCACCTTTGGGACGTGCTAAGCTCTCATAACCCCAGGAGAAAGGCGATGCCTCCTACCCACAAGGGCAGACTGTCCTCTCTCCTGAATGAGAAATAGCTGTCCCCAGTCAGTGCAACACGTCTTCACACCAAACACCACCAGATAGCCAGAAGAAAGGACCCAGAGGTAGGGAGAACACAGCAGCTCAGCCAAGGTGCTGTCATCCTTCGAGGAGTCTGTGAGAAAGAGACCATCAGCAATCTGACCATTCTCCTGGGCATCTTCGCCCTGGCTCTCGCTTAGACTACACGCTTCTTCTCTGCTCCTCAAAGTGAAGGAAGACGGATGGATTTATTGATAGATTAGCCTTATAAATTGCTGTATTGATCAGAAGACAACTCCCCAAAATGTAATTGGGATTCAAACAATATAAATGGAAGACACACTTACAAGAAGAAAAGCAATTCTTTACGAAGAGGGATATTTATAACAGACCTGCATCCCTGACTTCAAGTCACAGCAAAGTTTCCATTTAGTTCCAGAAGGCGGTGGGGGCAGTGGTGGTGGTGGGGACACACCTGAGAAGGCTGCTTTCATGGCCCTGAAGATGGTATCTCTGATCAAGGGGACCGGTTTCCCTACACACTCACCTTGTTTTCCTTTCTTGGGCTTAGAGTCAAGGTTGGGCAGTCCCACATCCGAAGGCTCATTCTTAATCAGGAGCAGGCACACCAAGGAGGCAACCACACACAGTGAGCCAGAGAAGGCCAGAATGGTGCGCCAGGCATAACTCAGTGCCATCAACGCTGCCACAATGGGTCCGATCCCTCCGGCCAGATTCATGCTGGTGGAGAGGATGGCCCACCAAGTCCCAAACTGGGAAGGTTCAAACCACTATAGAGAAGGGAGAGGGAGGGAGGGAGGGAGAGAGAGGATGGGTGTGTGAGTGTCTAGGCCAAGGCCAAGTCCTCACACTGAGCTTAGACTTCCAGCACCACCACAGGATGCCTAAAAAGGAGCAGCAGACACTTTCTGGACAAATTTCCATGCTCCCCAGAACTGTCCTCAGAAAAGCAAAATGAAGTGCATTTCCACATCAATTGTTTAGCATGATTTCCTCAAGGCAGTTGACAAGAGCATTTAATAAAAAACATAGTACCTTTTTTAATGGCAACAGACACAGGGACCTGTGCATTCCACCTCTCCAAGTTCATGGATACAAATGAAGTCAAGCAATGCAGCAGACGCCCCAGAAAAGCTTACTTCTGGGTTATCAGTGAGCTCAAGTCATGCCTTCTACAGTTAGTCCGAGTTGTGAGAGAACTTGAACAGGAGGAGGCAGCTGCTGGATTAACCGTTTCCCAGAAGTGTTTGGATAAGGAGGTTCTGGATCAGGCTGGCCTTTGGCCTGCAGTCTTTTAAGGCAGCCAACTCGCCAAAGACTGCTCCTAGCCACCAATGGCCCAGCCATCTCTGAACAAGGCCACTTGCTCAGGGTCAAAGGAGGTGACTAGTATCCCAAAAATATCTGAGAGCAACATGATATGATTTGCAATTGATAGCTCCCGCTGCCCTTGCCAATCCAAGCCCCTCCTAGAAAAATGACATCTCTGACTAGCAGAGAGCACAGGTACTACGGCCTCTCCCTCACCACAGTTGCAAGGGCAGTTCTTGGTTCCATTAAAGAGCTGCAAACTCCCAGCACTAACACAAAAGATTAGTCAACGCGGCGTTCTCGGCTTGCAGCTCTGCATGGGGAGAGCCAGGGGCTATCCATGTGGGGCCACCTTCTGGTGGCTTCCCAGGGACAAGAATCTGACTTGCTGCTCCCACACTAAACTGCCCCTGCAGGGGAAAAATTGGCTCCTTCGCTTACCTTGCGCAGCACTTTGCCACAGGGGGGCCAGCCCAGGCCTTGGGCCAGCCCGTTGAAGAACCACAGTCCTGCAAACAGGGCAACGGTAGAACTCCAAGAAAACAGCACGTTGACCAATCCCACCAGAAGGAGGCCGGAAGAGAACAGCCAGCGGGCACTCAGTTGGTCTGAGAGGACACCACTCACAAACTTGCTAATGGCATAAGCGGCAGATTGGCTGCTGGTGATGAGACCTGAATTGAACGAGAGCCGCGGAAAAACCTCAAGAGCACGATTGCCAGGGCCTGGCCTGAAAGGGGCTCAGACAGGCGGCGTTAACCAGAATCAACCAAAAGGATCCTGAGTACAAGGAGGGCAGCAAGACTGATTGTGGCCAGAGAGAAGAAAAGCCGGAGGGCAGCCATTTCAGAGAAGAAGTGGTACTTTTCCCACAGAGGACGGCAATAAAATGGCACCGTTGAGCTCCGGGTCTGGCTGTGGGCTTCCTGTGGCCTCTGAGTGACCACGGTGAATATAAAGACAGTTTTCTCTTGCGGCATCATTAAAGCAGCCAGAATCATGATGCCCCTTCCAGTCAAGGATCGAGCTCAAATCTGGAGATACAATTCCTTTTCTCTCCAAATAAAAGCTTTTCTCTCCAAATAAAAGTGACACCTGTCCCAAGCATAAAATTGGTTCTCAAATTCCCTCCAACTCTCTTGGTATGAAGCCTCTGAAACTTCAAAAGGGTTCTGTAGCCCCAGGATCCCCTCTCCAAAGATCCCATCAACAAATAAGCGGAAAGAAGGAAGGAAGGAAGGCAGGCAGGCAAACTTACCTAAATCATCTTTGTCCAATTGTACCTCTTCCATGATTGAAGGCATCACGAAGGAGAAGGTTTTTCTGTTGAAATAGTACAAGGTGTATCCAACATACATAGCAGTGAATATGACAAACCGGTGATAGCTATAATTCTTTCCCGCCATTGTTGGGTGGGCTTGTGCTTCCAAAGCTTAAGAAAAAGAGTGGAGGGAAGGAGTAGGCTGTTCTGCTTTTAAGAGTCCAAACTGCAGGCGCAACAGAGTTGCTGACCGAGGGGAGAGGAAGGGTGGCAGCCAAGGGTTCAAAAGAGGGAGCCAGCAGCTGCCTGACTGTCTGTCTGCGTCTCTGCTGGGCAGAGGCTTTGTCGAAGTTCTGGCTTGATTTCAACTGCGCTCATGGCTGCTTTCTGGAGAATGATTAACTGGAGGGCCAGGCTGGACACAGAGTTCAGTATAAATGCACCCATCGACAATGGAACCCCCGCAGAGTCAGCCTGTAATAAACAGAGTTCGTGCCCAGAATGTAAAGATTAGTGAGGGTTTTTTTTCCACTCCTTGTTCTGACCTCTGAACTCAAATAGTCCAAGACCAAACAGAGCGGATCAAGGTCTTCCTGGAACAAGCAACCTCCTGCGTCAGGACTGGCTCTCTCGCCTGCCTGCCTTCAGATCTCAGCAGGCCACACTGAGCTCAAAGATGTTCTTCTGCAAGCTGAGAGACACAGAGAACACGCGTCAAATGCTGCCCATCGGAGAAGGCAAGTTCAGCATAAAAATACTTACCTATTTGGGCACAAGACCATCTGGGCACAGCAGGCAGATTAAAAACCAAGAATCCCTTCCCATTTCTAGGTAAGAACCGAAGCACAATAGTTTTCCATTACACCTTTGAGATGTATTAGCTTATGGACAGAAGAACAAAATACCAGGACTGTTACCTGCTCGAAGTAGCAGGTGTGCCAGAGGAGCCATCGATGTTAAGAAAACGAGAATCACAGTTCAGTTTAAAGCCCGGGCAAATACAATAAAGTCCGCCTGGCCTCTGAAGAGAAGCTCTTACACCGACCTCCCCAGGCTGCCCCTGTGCAGAAGGCCCTCCTCCCAGAGACGGGGCTGCTCCAGCAGGAGCCTCAATATTTGGTTTCATCACACTCCAGCAGTAAGTAGGTCCCAAAGGGCAAAGGTCCTTAAAGGACGCCAACAGAGCTTGGAATGCTGCCCAGAAGGGAAGGAGGGAAGGAAGAGCCAGGCAGTAGAAATGCTTTTAAGGCAGGGAAGGGGCTCTCCTTCAGAGGAGAACTAACCTGCCCCGTTTCCTCCTGGCACAATCACCTTGGTTCAAGCTACAAAAATTAACCCTCAAGACAAACTTTGTCTATGAGCCTTTCCACTAATGTAGCTCCGGGCAAGTAATCGAAGCAGCCTTGGAAGGACTAACATTTCTCTCCCTGTTGCCTTCTTATACCTCTTCTTCTGAATGGCCCAGGTTTTTTTTAATTAGCCCCTGGAAGAGGCTGCTAGCTCTTCAGAGTTACTCTTGCAAAACGTAACACATTTTCTGCTCTAACTCCAGTTAGGTTAATTATTTCCCTCTTTGTTGTAAAAGGCATCTAATACTTGTTGGACACTTAATCCTCATTAATACGCAGCTTTCCCTTGCTGATGTCTAACAAGGCAACTCGGAAGAGAGGGGGAGAGATTACAGGGCTACCTATATAAATTGCTCAACAAAAGTCACCTCCTTGCAAGTTGACATTGATTAGATTTTTATACCTTATTGCTTTGCAAGCAACTCAAGGCGGTAAACATACATAATGATCCTTCCTCCTAAGATGACAACAACCCTTTGAGGCGGGTTGGGATGAGATAGACTAGCCCAAAGTCACCCAGCTGGTTTTCATGCCTAAGGCGAGACTAGAACTCAATTTTCTGCTTTCTAGGCCAGTACCTTAACCATATCACCCCGAACAGGCTCTTTGGAGACAGACCATCCCCATCACTTGGGCTCACCATGAAAGACTGGGGAAGGCTCCTGGTGCTTCAATGGGGACAATTTTAATAAACGTTTTATTTCAGTTCTGGCACCTTCTTTAATGTCATTCTGCTTCAGTATCCATCCTGCAAATTCTGAATTAGCCGCAAGAATTTCAGAAAAAGAACTGCTCCTGATATCTTGAGCCTCAATTTTTTCTACCTTTTACAGGTAGTCCTCGATTATGATCACAATTGAGCCCAAAATTGATGTTGCTAAATGAGCCATTTGTTAAGTGGGTTTTGGCCCCATTTACGATATTTCTTGCCACCGTTGTTAAGCGAATCACTGCAGTTGTTAAATTAGTAACTTGGTTGTTAAATGAATCTGGCTTCCCCGTTGACTTTGCTCGTGGGAAGGATGATCCTGGGACACTGCAACAGTCAGAAATGGGAGTCCGTGGCCAACTGTCCGGATTTTGACCACACAGGGATGCTGTGTCGTAAGTCGCTTTTTCCAGTGATGTTGTCACTTTGAAAATCAGGTGGGAAATGTACCTGTTTATTTGAATAACCTAATGTGTCCCCGGAAGATGAACCTGGCCAGCACCAGGCAGCCTCCCTCCCTCCCTCCCTCCGGCTCTGCAAAACGGCCAAGGCTTTGGGGCGGGCGACCCGCATCGCCTGGAGCCCTCCCGGCACGAGGAGCCTCAGCCCGCCCAGAGGCGCCAGCAAGCCCAGCCCTTGCGAAGCCCCCGGTGCCGGGGAAGGAGGGCGGCCCTGGAGGCTGACGGAACCCTCCGCTTCCGCCAGCTCGAACGGCGCCCCGGCCGGCAGAAAGGGTCCCTCCCCCCGCCCACCCCCCTCCCTCTGCGCCCCCCCACAGCGGCCCCACGTACCCCTGCCGCCGGAAGACGCTCGCGCTCCCTCGCCTGGCCAGAGACGCCCCTCCCGAGCGCCATCCCGCCGCCCATTGGCCAGGGTGGACGTCACTCCCAGACCCCCCCAAACGCCACTTCCTGTTACGAGCAATGGCGCCATCCTACTTTTGCCCTAGGCCCGCGAGCGCATGCGCGACAGCAGCCAACCCGCCGAAAAGCCCTTTGTTCTCTCCCCCCCCCCAAAAATCGAGGGCAGCTCGGCGGCGGCGAGACCGCCCCTCCCCCCCAAGACGACTCAGGCACCGGGCGGTGATTCCAGTTGCTTTATCGGGACTGACAGTAGAAAGCACGTTCTGCCCAAAACAGGCCCACAGAAACCCGTTGCGTCTCTTTAAGAAAATAAGCTCTGAAAAGGAAGCCGATTCCAAGACGCCCTTGGAAAGCTAGGAAGGTTGCGGCTGTTCCCGTCCGTCTCTCCCTCCCCCCCCTCTCTGCAGGCAGCCAAGAGGCCGGGAAGGAGCGAAGGAAGGCCTCCAGCGATGGCTGGCAGGCAGGCGGAAGAGGGGCAAGCTACGCACGGCCGGCTTTCAAGCTCTAGGAACCGGCCTAAAAGGGGGGGGGAGAAAGAGGCGGAATTCCCCACAGCTACAGAATTAGACAAACTCAACATATAAACTTCTGAACTAAGTTTAGTCCAACAGTGCTTGCTCTGAGCCGAGCATCACTGACAAATACAGAATATTCATTTTCTGTTCCTACAAAGGAGATTCCTTGAGGGCAGAATACGAATAGAGGAACTGGATCTTGCTCTGCCTGTAAGGCTACAAAGTTTTTCATACTGTGAAAAAGCTTCATGTCTCGCCCGAGTAGCTCAAAGGCCGGCAGCAACAGAAGCAGCCAGCCTTGGGAGCCCACTTCCTATTCCCCTATATATTTCCCCAAAGCAAAAAATGCCTCGATAAGAATCATGGATTCAGGATTGTTAAAGTGGTTACCAGAAATCAGAGGGTAGAACGTTTAGGAGCAACAAACGGCCAGCCACCCTCTGACAGCACCCTTAGCTTTCATAACAGCAGCCGAGTTGCATGGAGGCCCCTTGAAAGGTACAGAATGAGGCCACAGTATTAACTGAACAGAAAGTAGACCAGAAGAGGATACGGATTCTCTCTCTTGCTTGTCAGCGCCAGCCTGGGTGCGGATGGCCTGCCTGCCGCCTGGCTGTTCTGTTTTATATTACCTCCTCAGGTACAACGGGGAACATTTAAGGTTTCTTTCAGACCGTTACTGCCTACCCGTTTATGTTTCATGGAGCTACGGAATAAAGACAGCGATAACAGCCGTCGGCAGAGAGTAAGATGACCAGGTTTTCCAGGCAAGGAGAGCCGCTGCAGGCCCTGCTTTCTGCATCGAAAGTCCTAGAGAAATCCAGGTAGATTTAATCCATTGCTGAAAAATGCTGATCCCAGGAAAAAGCTGGGTCAGACACCGCAAACATTTCCAAAGAGCTGAAAGTCGTCTTTAAAGAAAGGAGTTGATACAGCAGAAAATTTCCAAATGAGCAAGAACAAAATCCCCAAACAAAAAGGGGGAAAAATACAATTCTATTTTGTCATCAGTTTGTGCCATGTTCCACTAACCATGTCCATCATAAAAACAGTAAAATTAACTGTAAATAAATAGATGTTGATGATGCACACAGGGACTTGAGGAAGTGTTATAATTCATCATTACTTCTGGTCTCTTTTGTTTCTGCAGTCTTATCTGTTTGCGGGACTACATTAAAGACAAAAACAAACACAGTTAAATGTTCAGATGCAGGGATCAGGAAACAATCTCAGAAATATCCTGCTGGGCCTTTTGCTATCCCAGGACAGTCCCCACCACCTCACAGTCTCTGGCCAATCAAAGGGCTTGCTTGGGACTTGAGTGCCCAGATTGTGCCCAGCTCCTGCCAGGTGCTTGTGGAAAGTTCCAGCCCACTTAAGCAGCTTTGCATTATTCAACTAGCATTATTTTTCCATCATCTGCGTGAAATGTTAACCATGCTGGAAATGACACAGGTACTCTTCTGGTTACCATGGCCTTTGAGACCGACACTGCTGTTACTGAGCAAGGTGGCTGCAATGACCAATTGTTATCCTAACTCCCTCCAAGACAAATGGGCCATTAACTGGGAAGTGGCAGGAGACCCAGGTCAGGAGCTTGGGGATCCGGGGGTGGTGGTGGCTGCAGGGAGGTCATGGGAAGTAGGGCCCAGCACTGCACGAAGCCAGGATGGCTGAGAAGAGGCTGTGGGTCAGTGCAAGCACAAGGAGGCTGGGAAAACTAACCAGAGCAATGGGTGGCCTTCCCTGCTGGCTTCCTCACTGATTTGGGGTTGTGGGAAGCCATCAAGAAAAGTTGCAAACGGCGATCATGTGGCCCTGGGGTGGTGCGATGGACAGATCTTCAAGGACATTTGCAACAGTAGATGAACAAGGTCAGTGAGCGAGGACTACAGGTAAATGCCACTGCTGTGCTGTAGCGCTTGTGGCTCTGGATGAATGTGGAAATCTGGTGGGTGGACTCCAGTGTGACCCAAGGAAAGGCTCCCTCCTCCTCCTCCCCCTTCATCGGGGTTCCCTTACCTCCATCTGGGTCCAACTCATTGTCCAGTGGTGGTTCCTCCTCTGTGGGGGGCTCTTTGGCTGGGCTGGCATCTTCCGGCCGATCTGCTCGTGGCAGAAAAAACACAGTTGTGGAGAGGAGAAACCTTTCTGCAGTGAAGGCAGCCCTCCCTCCATCACCCAACATGCACTCTAGCAAAGGGCACTCAGAGGGCTTCCGAAGGCTGCTCTGGCTCCAGTCCAGGAATCCGGAGGCAGGGAACACCTGCCAAAAGGCCTGCTCACCTTCCCGAGTCTCCTGCTTGGGAGGGGCGGTCTTGCCATTCTCCGGAGACCCGGTGGCGTTCTCCCTCTTCTTGGGCTTGGTGAACTTGGCCTTATTGAGAAGGTACTGCACCTCCCGATCCAAGCCTGCGATCTTCATCTCAATGTCTTTGGAAAGCAGAACGGGCTTGGCGGTGGGAGGCAGCTTGTTCTGCTCGGCCAGGGTCTCGTTCTTCCACACCTGGGAAAGAAAAGGCAACCGGCATTCGTCTCCTAGCTACTCATCGCTGGCCGCCTTCTGCCTAAGTAGCTACTTCCTCACATTGGGAATGCCACCGCTGGAGATCCTTCCAGTGCTCCTCCCGAGGGATGTTATAGCTGTCTTTTACAATTTCATACAGTAAAGGCCGATGGCAGCAGAATTCAGCAGGGCCACCTGAGGAATCAGACTGGCCACAAATCCTGGCTGTGCCATGTGCAGCAAGGTGACCTTGGGGAATTGATCTCCTGCCCCAAAGAAGGAACTTGGAGACAGGAAGACCACCAACACGTCCTGGAGCAGAAGCTGTCTGTGCTTTTTGGGATTAAGTGCGGCTCTCGAACGCAAGGCTGCCTGCTGCTGCATAGGCAGGCCTGGAATCCCCAACATTGTGGTCACCTCCTGCGGCTGCACTTACCTCCGTCTCATTGATAGCTTTCTGCAAAGTGCTCAGCTCGATCTCGGTGAATATCTGATCAGGCTCCGGGATCATTCGGGCCCCCCTGAAAGGAGCAGGAAAGGGGCTCAGCCTGCCTGAAGCAAAACTCATACGCAGGTGCCTGTCACAGGTGGCAGCTCCCGGTCTCAATTGCACCAGGGAGAGGGCAGCTGATCCTGAGATCTTATTTCAAGCCAGCAGGCTGGACAAGAACACACCATCTATTTTTGCTAATAAAACTGCAGTTCCATTTAAGTCAGCAATCAGAGGCCCCACAATTTTAAGTTTTCCCAGAAATCCCTTTTCTAGCTTCTATTCACAGAATCAAGGATGCCCCACAATTCATGAAACGCTATGGAAGGGGTAAAAAGCTGCAAGGTGCTGGCTATATGAGCTGGCTACATCTCAGGCACTCTGGACATGCTGCAGAAGCTGAAGATTCTCTCAAGGGTGTGGGGAGGTCTAGGGGCCCTGCCCTGCCTTCTTCCTACCTGAGGAAAATGCTGGAGTGATTCAGCAGGCTCTCCAGGGCAGCCAGGCGGTCTGGCCACTTCCTTCTCTCCTCTACCCGGAAGAAGAGGCTCCGGCACAACCTCCTCAGCTCAGAAAGCTTCTCCTTCAGCTCCTGGGAATCACAACAGAGAGGAAATGGAGCCCAGCGCAAAGCCATCCTTTGACCGTTTCTGGTATGGCAGGAGCCGCCCACACAAGCCAGAGGGATCCACGCAGAAGCTAACCCAGCCCTTAGACCATGATTAATGGACCAGGTCTCAGCAAGCCCCACTGTCTATCATAATGTGAAGAAAACAAGAGTGCCAGGAGAGCTGGTCAGGTATGTGCCAATAAGAGTGGCCTCATGTACAGTTGCAAGAAAAAGTATGTGAACCCCTTGGGATTACGTGGAGTTTTGCATGAATTGGTCATAAAATGTGCTCTGAACTTCATCTAAGTCACAACAATAGAAAAACACAAGTCTGCTTAAAATAATACTACACAAACATTAGATGTTGCCATAGATGAAGTTCAGAGCACATTTTATGACCAATTCATGCAAAACTCCACGTAATCCCAAGGGGTTCACATACTTTTTCTTGCAACTGTATGAGGCTTTTTATGCCAACTGAGTGAAACACTGAAACATCAAGGTGGTGGTGCCAGGAAACAATCGGCCACGTGCCACGCCGCCGGTCTAACTGACCAACTCTATGCCGAGTGCTCCTCCTACGAGCTGCCCTGATGAGGGAAGGGGATCCCAAGCACCCCCACCCTGTCAGCTACCATTTGAAGGTACTGCCCCCACCA